GCGGGCGCTGGGGAAAGCAGAGCCACGCCCCCTCGCCACGCCCCTTCCAATCACGCCCCTACGCCACGCCCCCTCCCGCCGCCCTCGCCACGCCCCCTTCGCGGCTGGCCTCGGGGCCCCTTGGGCCGCCCAGCCAGGTCTGCTGCAGCTGCTGCCCCGGAGCCCGGGCCCTGCAGTACCCGGCCACAAAAGAAACATGACCCAAATAGTTCCGCCCTAACCAGAATGCCCAGGACTAAGTGAAGGCCGGACAGGTAGTCGCTGAGCCGGCGCTTTCTGAGGCTGACCCACGCCTGCACCCTTTCCTCTCCTCCCCTTCCCATTGTAAATTCCTTCTAGACGTCTCCAAAGAAACCCCACCCACCATCACACCGTCTATACCCCTTCTTACCACTTCATCTTCCCTATTCTCCCTACAGTAAGCACAACCCCTGGGTCGCTTCCAACCCCAGGGACCTTTTTCTACGAGTTTAGTGTCTTCACCACACAATGTCACTTCATCAGGCTAGGTCTTGTCTCAGCAATCGTTTCTTTGTACATGTTTTGCGTTGTAAATCGCCTGGAGGACTCCACTTCGCTTATTTCTTACGCAGCTGCGGATAGGGTGCTAAGCACAAGAGAGAACTCATAGATACTTGTGGGTTGATCACAGTGTAGGTTTTCAGTCCACAGGTCACTGTAGCCATACCTATGTGAACAACTTGAGTATGGCCCAGCAGGGACCTCCGCCCCCCACCCCCACCCCGCGTTCTGGCTGCTTTCCTGACTCATAGCTTATCTCAACTCGGTTGATAGTTGAGAAAAGTTCTAAGGATTTCTTTTTCCCTACCCATCCAGCTAGCAAGATGCTCCCCAGTGCTTAGGGAGAACCGAGGTTTAAAGGGGGCAAGTTTCTGGCCTTCCCCCAACCCCACTTACACACACTACAGAAAGTATACCAGGTCTACAAAGGGGATCATAGGTGTGAATCAGCTTAGCTACCAACAACCCGTGACAGGGAAAGAGAGACAGACAGACAGGCAGAGACAGACAGAGACAGAGGCAGAGACTGACAGAGAGGGAGGGAGAAAGGGAGGGAGGGAGAGAGGGAGAAGGTAAGATAAAGAGAAACCTCTTGCTCTTTAGCCCACCAGAGCTTTGTAAGTTATTTCTTGAGTAACTAGCGCCATCTAATGGAAGGAGTGAAAAAAGTTTCTATCAGAGCCAGAGGTGTGAAAAGATATGAAGGTTTAGGGACCAAGCAGAATACTTTTGTTGTTTATAGAGGTCCCTACACACACACACACACACACACACACACACACACACACACACACACACACCATAAAATTTACTATAGGAAATCATTTAAATTTTGGAACATAACCATGAAGTTGTAACACAAATATAAACTTCAAATACCAGGCCCTAATTAAACTGCCAGTGTCATGAGAAAATTAAAGAAGAACCCCCCCAGGCTGGGCACTGGTGGCTTACACGTATAATCTTAGCTATTCTTGATTCAAAGCCAGCCAGGGCAGGAAAGTCTCATCTCCAATTAACCGCCAGAAAGCTGGGAGTGGTCCTGTGGCTCAGTGGTAGAATGCTAGCCTTGAGCAAAAGTTCAAGCCCAACAACAACAACAAAAGATTGATACCCTCAACCATTAATATTTAGTGAAAATGTTTTAAATGTATCAATAGACCATATATTAAGTTTTTAAGATCTTGTAAATAGGTTAAAATTCTGTGTCTTCTCATCCAGATCATATATGACTCTGTGTGTGTGTGTGTGTGTGTGTGTGTGTGTGTGTGCACGGGCATGCACGCGTGTGCTCATGTGTGCATTGCCAGTCCTGGGGCTTGAACTCAAGGTCTGGGCTCTGTGTCAGAGCCTGTCTCTGTGCTCAAGGCCAGTGCTCTCTCACCTGAGTCATAGCACCACTTCTGGTTTTTCCAAGCAGTTTATTGAAGATAAGAGTTTCACGACTTTCCTGCCTAGGCTGGCTTTGGACTGTGATCCTCAGAACTCAGCCTCCTGAGTAGCCAGGATTACAGGCATGAGCTACCAGTAACTAGCCTAGATCATATCTGAAATACACCTGGGTAGGTACATGGGTTAGACATGATTAAAAGCTCAGACAGGGACTGGGAATGTGACTTAATGGTAGAGTGCTTGCCTAGCATGCATGAAGCCCTAGGTTTGATTCCTTGATATTACATAAACAGAAAAAGCTGGCACTGTGGCTCAAGTGGCAAAGTGCTAGCCTTGAGCAAAAGAGGCTCAAGAGACAGTGCTCAGACCCTGAGTTTAAACCTCAGGACTGGCAAAAACACCTCAGACAATAGCCTGGTGCTGGTGACTCATGCCTAGAATCCTAGTTACTCAAGAGGCTGAGATCTGAGGTTCACAATTCAAAGCCAGCTGGGGCAGAAAGAGTCCTTGAGACTCTTATCTTCAATTAACTGCTACACTTGTGCGTACACACACACACACACACACACACACACACACACACACAGGCCCAAAGTAAGCTGTGGCTCCTATGGTAGAGTAGTAGCTTTGAGCAAAAAAACCTCAGGGACATGCCTAGACTTTGAGTTCAAACCCCAGGACTGGCACCAAAAAGAGAATTTTAAAGCAGAGGCATTTTCAAATGAACACTAAAAGAAATGAAATCAGAATGGACTGTAAACATTTATATCCTACACGAAGGAAGTAAGTGACGAGAGAATGGTGGGGGGGAGGAGACTGGGAATTGGGGGTAATAGTCATTACTGGAGTACTTAGCTTTGGTACACTGAGTCCAAGTGTGATATAAAGAGGTGGTTTGTTCTGTGTTTTGCTTTCATTCATTACAGGAAAGCACTTTCTACTGGAGTGTATCCAAACCAGCATCTGGCACCTGAGAAAGTGAAAGTTCAAACATACTGCGCATGAAATATAAATAAAATTTAGAGAATTGTTGGTGCGGTAGGCCTTGATTAGAAGCCAGATCTTACAGCTGCCTTTTAAAGTGGTGTGGAAAGAGAGGATTTGTGACAGAAATGACTCCAGAATCATGATTCTAGTGGTCATTTGTTACAAGAAGAAATCCAAAGAGACTCATTTGGCTTCCTGTAAAGAAATTGCCATTATCCTTTGGCCTGTGAAAATCACTACTCTCTCTACTTCTGCAGTGTAAGAGACTACTTAAAGACATTGTCCCTACTGGGATTTAGCTAGTTAGGATACATTAATTGATCAGCAAACTATTATTGTTTTGAAATATGTATTAAGGAGCTACAACATGTTTGACATTGTGATGAATATATATATATATATTTATTTATTTATTTATTACATTTTTCTCTTTCTTTCATTCTTTATTGTGCCAGTTCTGGGGCTTGAACTCAGGGTCTGGGCACTGTCCCTTAGCTTTATTACTCAAGTCTGGCTCTACCATTTGACCCACACCTCCACTTCTGGCTTTTTGCTGGTTAATTAGAGATAACAGGCTCACAGACTTTCCTGTCCAGACTGGCTTACAACTATGATCCTTAGATCTCAGACTTCTGAGTAGCTAGGATTATAGGTGTGAGCCATTGTCACTCAGCATTCCATGGCCTCTTTGTTCATGGGTCCTTGGGGCTATGATAGAGATGGGTTCTGTTATCAACAGAACAAGTCATGCTAGCCACTTGATTAGAATTTAACTCTGCCCAGATCACTCTTTGTTGAGCATTCACATGGGATACAAATATCCTTTTTTTTCTTTTCTTTTTTTGGGGGGGTCCGGTCATGGGGCCTGAACTCTGGGCCTGGGCATTGTCCCTCAGCTCTTCAGCTCAAGGCTAGTGTTCTACCACTTGAGCCACAGCACCACTTCTGGCTTTTTGCTTTTTGCTTATGTGGTGCTGAGGAATCGAACCCAGGGCCTCTTGCATGCAAGGCAAGCGCTCTACCACTGAGCCACCTTCCCAGCCCCACAAATATCCTTTTTTTCTTGTTCACAGAAAGAAATTTATTTTCATCTTTTCCCAAATATCTTTGTCATCATTGCTACCATGCAGAATTGAGTCTGTAATCCTACATGCGGCCAGGTCCCCTTCCTAGCAAAGTGATGCAAGTGATAGAAGTTCTGCTTTTTTATTTTTTAAATATATATATATTTATTTATTTATTTATTTATTATTTTTGTCAGTGTGGGGCTTGAATTCTGGGCCTGGGCGCTGTTCCTCAGCTCTTCAGCTCAAGGCAAGTGCTCTACCACTTGAGCTACAGTGCCACTTCCAGTTTTCTGGTGGTTTATTGGAGATAAGAGTCTCATGGTCTTTCCTGCCTAGGCTGGATTTAAACCGTGATCCTCAGATCTCAGCCTCCTGAGTAGCTAGGATTACAGGTTAGCCGCATGTGCCAGGCCTTTGGTTGTGTTTGTTGTTGTTATAAGTCAGGTAATGAGTACATTTCTTTTTGGACAATGTCACTTCTTCCCTCAAAGTTATGCTCTTTGAGAGCATTTTCCTTCCCCACTGTCCTCTGGGAATGTCCTAGAGAAGGGCTGGAGTGGTTCTGCTGTCTACTTTTGGGGTCCCTGCATGTCATATAGAACCATC